AAGCCTATTTTCACCAATTATACTACGATCTCAAGTCTTAAATCCTTTAGCTCTGGAAAGTTTTCTTCAATGACTTCCTTACTTATGTTCTCTTTGTTATCTATTTCTGGAAATCCTATCAACTGGATGTTGGAGCTTCTGAATCTATCCTTTTAGCCTTTCTTTACTGATCATCTGCTTGGTGACTGCTATTGTACCTTATAAAATTCTGCTATTTTATTTTCTAGAATGTTCAATATTTGAGTATGCCCATTGCACTATTCAGATCCTCTATTGAAATTTTAATTTGGTAATTTTTTAAGTTTCTGACTTCCTCTGCTATCTCTCTGAAGATACTGAGCACACCTCTAAAGTTTTCTTTTGTCTCCTGGATTAAGTCTGTTTCTATGGATGTTAGCTCTTCTATTTGCAGTTTTTAATTTTTTTTTGGCAGTACTAGGGTTTGAGTTCAGTGTCCCACGCTTGCTAGGCAGGCATTCTATCACTTGAGCCATGCCACCAGCCTATTTCCAGTCTTTTTTTTTTTTGGTAGTACTGGGGATTGAATTTGGGGCTTGTACTTGCTAGGCAGGTGCTCTACCACTTGAGCACCACCCCAGCCCCTATTTGCAGTGTTGTATGTCTGTTTTCCTATTGATGGAGCACTCACATTGGCACACGAATTCTTCCTATGCTCATCGTTATTTATCTCTAGTGATTTTGAGGGAGAGGTCAAATCTTGGTCACCAAGATGTCCCAATTCCTTGACTGCTGGGCATAGCTGTTTCATCTTCCTCCTGGGTTTTGTGTGGCACCTGGCACTTTACCAACTTTTTCTTCTCAGCATGCCCTACTCTGTCCTACTTTAGAATTCTGACTCAGAATTGACTACCAAATTAATTATACTAATCCCTAAGCAATCTCTGGTTATTCCCTCAATTCTGTGAGGCCAGAAGTGACACTGCAGGGAACTTCTCAGATCTCTTTCATGCAAGCTACTACAGGAAGCTTGGTTGAGTGACAACCTCGGGCTGCCACACCTCTGGCTCTTCCATAGTGATAATGCCAAGCCCATGTCCATCACTCTCAAAGGGGCTCAATGCAGGATTAAATTTACACTCGAGTTGCTGCTGTCTCTCCCATTGATGACCAAGTAGAGCTCAGCCTGTGGTGCTATTCTTTGGCCAAGTTTGCAATTGCTCTCCATTCTTCCCCTCCCCCAAGCCCACTCTTATCTATGGATCTGATGAGCCGCTGCCAGCAGGAACGTGACTTTCTTCCAGAAGCGCCTGCTTTCCAACCCACCTTCACCCGAAGGGGTCCCCAGAGAATAGTGACACTCCCCCTCCCCATGCCTGCAGAGGGAAAGCCACTCATTTCCCCACGTCCTTCATGGGGCGTTTGGGAGCTGGAGTTCCACACTCCGTCCCTGCTCTCATGCAAAGTGGCGCTCCTTGGAGTACTTGATGACCACTGACTGTCCTCTTCCTCTCCTCACCTGCCACCTTTCAGTCTCCCCTGCCCCTTCCCATCATCCACTGCAGCTGGCACCTAGCCCTAGGCCGAGTCCTGCCATTACCCAGTTCCAAGCTCATTCAGACCCCAGCCCCACACCTGCCCTCCTCATACCCCAGAAACTCCTCTACAACCCTGGTCACTCACCCCAAGGCTCACTTGGGGCTCGTGATCACCTCAAACCTGTGCCATCTCCACAATTCTCTTTGACCACATCCGTCTCCCAGAAGATGACATTCCCACTAAAGTCATTAATGAATTTTCTTAAATCTCCCTGACCTCTCAATTCACTTCAACAGCTACTTTCTCCATGCTCTCATTTCCCCACTCACCTATTTGTAGTGCACGATCCATTACTGAAATTTGTCCTTGCCAAAACTCCAACTTCTATCCCCCACACCCACTTTCTTCTTTCTTAACTTCACTCTAGCAAAAAGCCCTGATGAGCCTAGTTGTCCTACAGCTGAGTGCTGCTAGGGACCATCACCAGCAAGGGCCTGGGACAGTTTAATTTCAGCTGTTGGGGTTGGTAAAGAAATGTTGAGGCAAGGAGTATCGATGAGTTGGAGACTAGCTTGATGGATTTTGTGAACTATGGGTTAGAGTTTGAAAAGGAGGAAGGAATTGGAGCTACAGGGCATTATTCTAACATACTGGGGGCAGTGACTGAAACAAGCCCTGATGGCTTTAGTGGGTCTACCTCACTCCAGTGTTAACCATGGTAACAAATCCTACCTTTCTCTGGAAGAAAGGTGGAAACCCATGACACTCCATATTTATCTCCTCTCTGGATAGGGCAGCATGGCAGGGCAGGGATTTGAATTTGGGCTTCACTGCCTTGGAGTTATTAGAGGGCAGGAGAAAGTGATGGGACAGGAGATGGCTTACTGGACAATGCCTCTGAGCTGGTTTTAAGGATGAGATGAGTGAAGACATAGCTCTCAGTCAGAAAGAAGGCCTTTTCTGAAGAAGCAGGAAAGGAGAAAAGCTTCTGTATTGGTCACCTTAGTCTATATTATGTTCATTATCGCACAATCCTCAGATCTCAGCTTTGAAGTACTGGTTTTCCCCCTTTGTGCTACATGTCCACTGTACATTGGCAGGGAATGATGCTAACCAAAACGGTACAGCTGATGACCAACCACCACATCCAGTGTTGCTAGTCCTTGTGCCAGATGAGCGGGCACTCTGGCAGGGTCACCTGGAGGTTCTAGCTTGATTACAGCAAGTGTCACTTTCCTTTGCAGTTCATTGGCCAGAACTGGTCACATGGTCCTACTTAAACGCAAAAGGGCCAGGAAGTGTAATCCTGTGTGCCTCCAGTTACAGGATTGGAATTTGTGTGAAGAGCAGTTACGAACCTACAATACTCCATTCCAGGAAGCTGTAGTTCTAGAAGTCACAGACAAACCTGTTAACCCATGCTCACCGCGAGCAGGAGGGGAGGCTGGGTTTCCCCTCTTCCAGCCCTGTGTTCTGTGGCAGCCTGGCGCCCAGTTTTATCTTCAGTAAGGTTCAGAACTCTTCAGTGGTCAGACATTTGTTAACACTCCTCCCAGTGCTGTTGCTGTTCTTTCCTGACGTCCCTTAGAATCAAGCCTGCTTTCTTCCAAGGTGTCATCTCAACTGATCAAACACCCAGATGCAGAAGCCTTTGTAGTTCTTCGTGGTCTCCTCGGTCTGATTCTGAGCAAGCATGGGGCCAGCGCGTTGGGACACTCACTGGATGCTGCCTCCATCTCTCATCAGAGCTTCTGCTACACTCCTCTGGGATGCCTTTCCTGACCTTCCAGGTTAGGTGAGAAGAAAGCCCGCATGCGTTCTTCTGACACCTAATACACACACTCCAATACCACAGACAGGCCCTAGCTTGAGGTGGCCTCTGCAAAATTGAGAACCTGTTCAAGAACTGCAATAGGCCTTTCTGCACACAGCTGTCCATTACCTGACATCTGCAGCCAGAAAGGTAAGAGGATCATTGGACATACGGGTCTGTAGTAAAGTTAGGGCACCCCAGCCAGAGGCAACTCAATGTTATATAGCCACGTAAGAGTGCTTTCCATTGCTAGCAAGCCAGGACAGACTTCAGGAACTGGGCCAATTGGGAATTGGGGCTGTGCTGCAATTGACAAGAACTGTAAGGAAGACAGAAACTTAAGGAGTTACTGGGAAGAATTTAGGATGCTTTTCAAACTCTGGTGCATGTAAGTACATGTACAATGAATACTATGCAGTCCTAAAATGCAGACTTGGACATTTAGATAAGGAAAGACTTTCAAGCTGTATTTTCGGGTGAGGGTGAAAAAAAGACATTAACAGGTTACACAGTGCACTACCGCCTTTGTTTAAAGAAAAAGTTGGGGAAAGTTTTACATTTACGTTCAAACATTTACACTATCTGTAAGGTTAAACCAATAAATGGTTGTACCAAATTGGTTGTCTCCTAGGAGGGGAACTGGGAAGCAGGGGAGAGAGGAATGATCTATTTTGAATTTTGTGTCACTTGTTTTGAAGTATTACCTATTTTAAAAATCAACTACCTAATGCAACACCATGTTTCTCCCCACTTCTGAAACACAACACAGCAAATTCTGAATTGCTGGCATTTTTCCCATTCTTCCTGACATTGACATCTTGGAAACTGCTCATCCTCCAAGGCCATGTTCACCAATTACTTGCTCTGGAATGCTTTTACAGCCCTCCCCATCAATGTTCTTGTAGACATGGTTTCTATGTTACAACTTTTGACACACACCTTTCTATTGTTTTAATTTCTGTCTACCAACCCAGCTCCCCAGGAAGCAGTCCCTAAGACGGAAACTAGAACTGGCCTAAGTTCTTTCAGGATCAAATCTGTGGAAGGGAGGAACACAGCACTGGGCAGAGGGAGAAGGGAGGCTGTGTTGCAGTCCTAACAAAAACCTCAGCAGATGACACAGGGAGCTCTGAAGCTGCCATGCCTTTTGCGCTGGTCATAACTGGAATGAGATGGTCTCTGGATGGGGGTTACCCAGGAAAGGGGGCTTGACAGGTCAAGACAGCTCTGTTCAGCAGAGGGAGGCACTTCCCATCGACAGCCAATAGCCCTTTGTTGGTGCATCACCATACTGTCTGCATGTTGGTCCGCCCCACTACAATTGTATTTTCTTTGTATTCCTAGTGCAAAGAGTAGAAACTAGTATGAATTAAGTTGAAAGGCTGGAGGTGCTTTGGCCTTCAGCCAGCAGAGGCCTGGACCACAGGGTAAGAGGAGGCACATGTGCGTTCTCACTCAGAGCTTAAGGTTCCTGTTGGCCCAGATGTTCACTTCTGTTTAACAACTAGAATAGTCAAGGAGACAGACTTCGTTCTTAAATAAATCTTCCTAGGGCTGAGAGCATAGCACAAGGGATAGAGCACTTGCTTACCAAGCTTGAGGCAGAGTTCAAATACCAGTACTGCCCAAACTAATGATAAAAAAAAAAAAAATTCACCAATTTCTTACTTAATAACTTTCTAGATTTTTATCTTTTCAAGCAAATGAATACTTTTATTAACATGGTAAGTTTTTTTTCAAACATGGTAGGGTTTTGACCTCAAATACTTATCAGATCTGCTACTCAAATAAACTTATAGCTGGACATTATGAATCTTGAAGACGCCTCTTCCCCGCCCAGCATAGGGTCCACTGCCGACAGTTACACGTTTTCCTTCCCGGCCCATGAAGGGCCATTGCAAGTATCTTTTAACTTTATGCCCAGAGTCCCCTGAGAGGCGTGGGGGTGTTACACCAACTGTACAGAATACCAAGGTCTCATCTAGTCTATGTTCCATGTCAAACAGAGCTGAGTCAGGTTGTCCCAACAAAGTCATCAGACAGGTTACATCAGATAGCGTTTCACATAAAATTTAAATTTTGAACAAAATACATCTCTCCTCCTTTGGTCTCACACAGAAATTAAAGTCCCCAAATACAAACACAAACACCCTCTATCCCTCTTTCCGAGGCATCAGTCCTGCAGGTCAGGCCCATCCGATTCCCAGGCGCAGTCGGGTCCCTTCTTCAGCACCGTGCAGAGTCATTCGTCTTCCTTCTTCCAGAGCGAGCGCAGCAACTCCGGTCCCGCGTCACACAGACCCACAGTCCGGGGCGCCACCGGGGTCACCCAGGAAAGAGCAGAGCACCTCGAAATTGAGCAAGGACCTCCGAAGCCGGGGAACAAACGTGACTGCCGCAGGGGCTTACAATCTGGGCCCTAATTCCTGTAGGTGAGAGCATTCATTTTCCAAATCGACCAAACCAAACCTCCAACCCCCAGCACCCCTGATCGATCGAGGTCGTCAGCCGCAGACCGTAGCAGGAACGTAGTGTGAGCGAGGACGGGACGGGGCAGACGGGGGACGGGGGACAAAAGGCTCTCGGGTTTCAGCTTCTCGGGGTGTCGGCCATCTGCGGCGCTCGACCGGAAGCCGCGGGCTGGGGACCTGTGGCACAGCGTGGGGGGGGGGGACACGGTCACGGCGGGGTCGCACGGGACTTCCGGGGACGCCGCCGCCCGCCACCCCGCCGTCCCCGCCCGCCCGGCCCGCTTACCGCGCCCCTCACGACGACTCGCCCTTCTCTATCCGCCGCACCAGCGCCACCAGCATCTCGGCCATCTTGGCCGCCTCCCGCGCCTTCTCCTCGGCCCTCTCGGCCCTGGCGGCCCTGGCGGCCGCGGCGCCGCCGTCCGCGCTCTGCAGGTGGTTCAGGGCGCTCTCCTCCGAGGCCTCCACCTGCGTCTTCGTCTGGATGAGCGTATTGTCCATCTCCCACAGCTTGCCGCCGCTCCGCCCGGCCCCGCACGGCCGCCCGCGCGCGCGCGTCAGCGACGCCATGTCCTCGCGCATCTCGCTGATGACCGGCAGCAGGAACTGCTCGAAGTCCTCCTCGGGCTCCAGCACCTCCACCTCCTCGGGCTCCGCCAGCTCCACCACGTCCAGGGGCCGCATCTCCCGCCGCTTCGCAACCGCGCGGTCGACGCCTGCGGGATACAAAACGGGCACTCGCGGCGCTGCGCGACCAAGCTCCGCGACCGTCTTGAAAAACTTTTCCCCCCTTTTTAACGAGGCGCCTTAGAGAAGCCGCGGAGAAAAAGCGACTTACGCGCAGAGAAGCCACGAATAAAATGGTGTCCCGGCCGTCAATCACGGCTCTGCGCGTTGCGGCTCCTTTCACGACACACAGCCGTGTCTCTCTTTACGGTCGCGCCGAGTGGTACGGACACGCGCACGACCAGGAAGGGGGCGTGGCGAACGCCGCCGCCAGAGCGCGCACGCAGACACGCAGGCCCCGCGAGCCTCCGGCCCGCCCCTCCTTCTGCCCCTCTGTTACTAGAGCTCGGTTGGTCTAGTGACTTGCATGGCGAGTGGGCACCCAGGGGTATCCCGCCCCTGGACGGCTTCTCGGTTTGAAGCCAGCCTGGGCTACCTAGTGAGACCCTGTATCGGAAAAAAAATGTCAAATTGCAATTAAAAGTACACCACCTAAGTAATTATGAAAATGTAAGCATCAAAACTTGGGTGCTGCAGTTGAAGTTACACCTGATGAGAATTTAAGATCTTAAATGCTGTGTAAGAAACAAAAGCATTAGTGAGTGGAGTTTCACTTAATTCAAACGGAATAAAACAAAAGATATAGAAAGAAGGAGGTAATAAAGGTGAGAACAGAAACTAGTAACACAAAAACAAAGACGTGCCTGGCCTCACGTTTTATGCCCTGCTCCATGAGCACCTGGCCTCTGGTTGCACCCAGGTCTCCACCACCTGAGCCGCACTCCGCCCCCATAAATTATTAAAACTGCTTTTTAAATTTCCGAGCACATGAGTTGTTTATGCTTTTCTGATTTCTAACTTAATTGCACTCTTAAGAGCTGGAGTTCTGTTTTATACTAATCAAATTTGTCAAGATTTGTCTATTGGTCTAGGCAATTTTAGCACATTTTATATGTATGCCTGTGAAGAATGAGAAGTTAGGAAGAAGGGCTTTTTGTACATCCACCAACTTCTGCCTCTGGTATTTATTGCACCAGTGTCCTGGCTTGCCTGTCTCTCTATAGTCTCTACTCAGCCTCCATCTCTTTGGTGCATTACAAAGTTTCTGTCTGAAATAGTTTTTCTTCCTTTTGAGGAAATTCTTTAAAGATTATCAAAGTAGACTGGCACAGTGGCTCATACCTATAATCTCAGCTACTTGGGAGGCAGAGATTGGGAGGATCTTGGTTTGAGGCCAGCTCAACAAACAAGCTATGTAGGAGGCATGAACTAGGAGGATCGAAGGGCAAAATGTGAGACCCTATCTGAAAAATAACCAAAGCAAAAAAGGGCTGGGGTGGGGAGCTGGAGCTGTGGCTCAAGTGGTAGAGCACCTGCTTTGCAAGCATGAAGCCCTGAGTTCAAACCTCAGTCCCATCAACAAAAGGGGGGGTGGGAACATGGACTAGCTCAGGTGGTAGAGTGTGCTGACCTAGCTAGTACAGCAAACCCCAGGGCCACCAAAAACAAAACAACAAAAAGAAAAAGGAAAGCAGTGTGGACCATTAAAATGAAAAGGGGAAATGAAAGACAACACCTTTCACTTACAGAGAAACAGAAAAGAGAAGAAATAAAATTTATCCGCGGACATACTAACTTCCCTGAGAAGATAGAAGCTGGCAGATGGAGTCAAAAACTAAAATCAAAGTATGTGTTACTTACCAAAACCACATCTATGCCAAAGTGGCAATAAAAATACGAGAATTAAGGAACAAAGTAGAATTTAAGTTAAAAAATAAAAGGAGATGATGTAATGATAAAAGATATGATTTAAAAGAAGTTATACATATCAATTATCTATTGCTGTATTCACAATACCCTAAAGCTTAGTGGCAGTCCCTCTCATTGCTCTCATTGCCTGGTGAGCAGGATTCCCGGGCTTCCTTTGGCTGGGAGGGACCAGGAAGGGTCCCGGCTGTAAGACTGTTGCCAGCTACAGCTAGTTTTTATCATGGACAGCTGGCCATCTCTCTCACAATCAGAAACATCCCCAAATTGTTCAGCCAGTTTGGGCTAGGTTTGGACAGTCCAGATTAGACAGAAAGAGCTGTGAAATATAAGGTGTGAGTTTGGATTTGTTTTATCTTTCTTCATATTTATATTTTTCACATTTTTGCTCTTTTTTTTTTTTTTGGTGGTGTGGCAGGAAGGTAGGGAGGGGGAAGAGAGATTGATAAGTGCTACAGTGAAACAAAGAAAAACCAGATCTGTGGAATGTGACCTGGGGTGAGACCAGAAAAGGGTCACCTCGCCCCAGAGATTAGAGTGTCCAATGAAAAGCATGTGACCATGCATGTGACAAGCTGTACCCTTCCCCCTTCTCTGTAACCTGCTGTAAGTGGTACATAAGGAAAACCCCCTTTGTTCTCGGGACTCAGCCTTTGGACTCGAGTCTGTTGAGTTGCTGCTGGCCTGCTTAATAAACTTGCTTCCTGAAAGCTTTGGTGCCCTCTCTCTCTCTGTCTGAGCCTCCTGCAACATTTCTGGAGCGCTCCTCAGGGATCTTCTGTTGGCTGGACCAACTCAGGAGGATTGTATGGAAGGAACTCACCTCCTTCTCTCCCTTTTGTGGAAGGCAGGATATAAGGTTTCCCAAAAGAAAGCTCAGATGTGCCAGGATACTGTCAAATACCTTGGGCTTCATCTGTCACAAGGACAACATAGACTGGGCCTGGGAGGAAACAGGCTGTCTGCTCCACTCCGATTCCTAAGACTGATTGACAGATGAGAGAATTTCTAGGAGCTACAGGTTTCTGCTGGATCTGGATCCCCAATTACTCTCTCTTGGCAAACCCCTTTATGAAGCCACAAAGTGGGGAGAATGGGAACCCATTGTATGGGGAGAGGAGCAAGAAAAGGCCTTTAAAGAAATTAAGAGGGCATTCACAAATGTCACTGCTCTAGGCTTGCCACATGTGACGAAGCCCTTCTTCTTATACGTACATGAGAGACTGGGGACAGCTGTGGGAGTCTTGACCCAGCTGCTAGGTTCCTGGCACAGCCCAGTGGCCTATTTATCAAAGCAACTTGACGTGGTTTCCTGAGGCTGGCTGCTCTGTCTGTGCACCCTGGCAGCCACTGCCGTCTTGGTGGCTGAAGCAGACAAACTTACTTTGGGAGAAGAACTCACAGCCTGAGTTCCCAACTCTGTTTTGACTCTTTTGGAATATAAAGGAAATTATCAGTTAACAAACTCCCAAATGGTCAGATATCAAAGTCTGTCATGTGAAACCAACATGTCCATCTAGAGGTGGTTAAGACTAAACCCGGCCACCCTGTTACCGGTTGATTCAGGCCCCAGAGCATGACTGTTTAGAGGTTTTGGATGAAGTGTTCTTCAGCTGGCCAGACCTGACCGACAGCCCATTTGTCATCTGGACATTGAGTGTTTCATGGATGACAGCAGCTTTGTCTGGGATGGCACACATTTTGCCGAATATGCAGTAGTGACTCTGGACACTGTCATTGAAGCAGGGCCACTCCCAGGTGGAGCCTCTGCACAAAAGGCTGAGCTCATTGCTCTCACGTGGGCACTCGAGCTCACTGCAGGAGTGTGGGTAAACAGCTATACAGACTCTAAGTGTGCCTTTACTACCGTTCATGTCCATGGAGCCCTACATAAAGAAAGAGGGTTCATTAACTTAGAGGAGAAAGTGTTAAGTATGGACAAGAAACTCTGGAATTGCTAGAAGCCTAGAAGCTGTATGGGCCCCTGAGTGAGTAGCAGTCATGCACTGCTGAGGGCACCAGAAGGGGGAGACAATAGCTGTTTGGGGAAACCAAAAATCTGACAGGGAAGTCAAGTAAGTAGTCCTCACAGGAGGGCAAACCTCAGCCTCACTGGCAGCTGCCTTGTTCCCGTGCCCCTTATCTGAATGGGATCCATGGTATACTTCACAAGAACAGGCTTGGTTTGAGACTGAAGGAGGAAATTTTCTACCAGAAAATTGGCCCAGCATTTTTTGTGTCCCCAACCTCTCCAGCGTAAGTAAGACAGTATGTGAAAGGTGCAGTCTGTGTTCCAGAAACAATCCCCAACAAGGGGCAAGATGTAAATATTTGCTGGTGTTTGTTTGCATCTTCTAAGGCTGGCTGGAAGCCTTCCCCACTCAGACTGAAAAAGCCTAAGAAGTGGTCAGGTTTCTGTTAAAGGAAATCATCCCTTGTTTCTATTGGGTCAGACAATGGGCCAGCCTTTGTGGCTGAGGTGGTACAGTAGGTGGCTAAGGGTTTAGGATTAACTTGGAAGCTGCACATGTCCTACCACCCCCAGAGTTCGGGGAAAGTAGAATGTATGAACAAGACTCTAAAATTGCAATTGGAAAAACTATGCCAGGAGACTCACCTACAATGGGATCAATTACTGCCTATAGGCTTACTCAGGATTACGTCAAGCCCCACCAAACAGATGGGTCTCTTCCCTTTTGAAATTCTTTTTTGGGCAAGGGCCTGAAGGAAATGGGTGACCTCACCCTGAGACAACAGATACAGGCCCTTGGGTTGACTCTCTCAAAAATCAATGACTGGGTCATAGAGAGACTTCCTGTTAGCCTGACAACTCCCACACACCTTATAAACCAGGGGATGCTGTTTGGTAAAGGAATGGAATGTTCCACCACAAAAGCCCCACTGGAGGGGCCCTTTTGTTGTTGTTTTGTCCACCCCCACCACAGTTCAAGTAGCAGAGATTGTTCCATGGATCCACCATAGCCAAGTGAAGCCAGCTTCCCTCGAGTGGAAGTGCAGCCCTGACCCAGCCTCGCCATACAAGATCACCCTCTGGAACACCTGTGCCCTTCTCCCACAGGACCCTGCTTCCCAGGAGACAACAAGAAAACATGGATGACGAGACGTCAGCCCTGCTCCAGACACTCCAGATGCTGCAGAAGCTTGAGGAGTCGCCCATCTCACCTTTGAGGATGAGTCTGTTCTGTGTATTCTTCTTGCTAATCTTGGTCAGCTCTCTACTTGGGGACCCCCAGGATTTGGACTGTGACTCTACATGAGTAGAGTGGGGAGTGCTGTTACCAAAACACTGGTTTTCCATGCTTATTATTCCTGTGCAGGCACTATTGTTGGGTCATGCACTCACA